GGCAGGCAGGTAGATAGGTAGGTAGGTAAGTAGGTGGGTAGCATCTCTATGGATGCCGACATGTCGTGTCTATATCTCACACAGCTATGTAGCGAGCATGTATGTACACTATGCCGAGAGCCACGTCGCCCCTCCACAACTCAATTGAACATGTTTCGCCTCGCCACTGAGCAGCGTTGCAGACCTGAAATCGCCACGGCACGGAAGGGTTTAGGGTGGCGGAAGGACTCATCACTAATCAAGCAAACGGACTTCCCGCTGTGAAATCTTCCCGCGAACTCCAAACGAAAGAACTCTAACATCCGATGTCTCTGTGAATTGGCACCGCTTTGGCTGAGACGCCTACGCCTTGGCCCCAAATCCGAAACTTGAGTCCAAAGTCCAGAACAACAACTTGAGTTCAACTGGCTGAACCCGGCGGTGCTCTGCACTCCTAGCCTCGCACTGCAAACCTTTAACTCCGAAATCGCAGACCCTGAACTGATCTGAACTCCGGAGTTGCCTTGGCTGCAGGTTGGCGGAACCACCACACTCGAGTGATTGTTTACGTCATCTTTGCCTCCTACCAACCTCGCTTTCCGCCTGCCTGCCTGCTTACTGGCCGACCTACCATCCATCTTCTGGTCGACCTGTGTCTAGTACAACAGTCTGCTAGAACATGCTAGAACAGTCCAACCTGATTGAAGGACTCTAGATCCAAGGTAGTCCTGCGATGCTGCCGTGATGCAAGACATCCAACAGTCCAGATAGCTGCTCCTCAGCACTGGGAAAGAAGGGCAAAACCCTCCGGACGACTTCGCTTGAAGCTCTCGAACACGTCCATTCTACACTTCCCAAACCCTTGAGATCCAACTGCAAACGATGGCTGCTCTGGCTGCTCATGAATCACTATGACATCGGCAAAATAGAAACCAACTTCGGACCTGAAGTTTAACACCATGCTTTCCAAGACCCAAGCCGCCAAAACCCCATCGGATCCTATCGCAAGGCTCCGAACAACAGCAAATCCTCCTGTGGCTGAGGCTTGGGCGTCGTCCGCCCCTACAGCAGCAAAGGCAGATAGCAGCCTCCCGCGTTGCTACAGTAGCGCTGCTTGGAAGGCTTGTTGCTCAGGGCTTTGGCAGACTCATCCCGCGAACGGAGCTACTGCTCTGTGCTACATCTGCTACATGCTGGTCAGGGTTTATGTTTATGAGGAGGGGGGTGCTGGCTGTTGCACCGCTGCGGGCCTGTGCCAATCGCTGGCATCATCCATGCCCTCGACCTGAACACGAGGCTCGCCAGCACGACTGTCTTCTGTCATTCTGAACCCCTGCAAAGCCGAACCTTATGCGTACTCCACATACATCCATGCCTGCATGCATGCATACATACATACCCATACATCCATACATTCATCTATGCTTACATACGTCCACCCGTCCGTCCACCCATGCATGTATGCATGCATGCATTCTGTTGATAAAGCTTATCTACTCATGTATACATGCATGTGCCGGTACATGTACATGTACTTATCCACATTCGTATACATGTACATCTTCATAAACGTACACTTACACATATACATATACATATACATATACATATACATATGCATATGCACTACATACACATACACAACAGCATATGGAACATAGCCTGCAGCTACGCCCACCGACATCCACACCTACGCCTCCCTGCACCTATACCTACACATACGAGTACAAACAGAGGTCCTCATGTAGGTACATAGAAATTACATATACACATGCAAAACATGCTCGAATGCCAACGCGACCATGGCAGAGGCATACTATCTTGAAATCCCATAACCATGAACACCCAATGCCCAAACCTGCAACCCTAAAGCCCCACACGCCCACGCCCCAAACCTGTGATCATAAAGACCCAAACCTGTAACCCTACAACCCAACATGCTAAACCTGTAGCCGAAAAAACCTTAAATCTCGAGAACTAACCAAACTCCAGACCTACAATCCAACAGACCCTTAAACCCTGAACCTATAACTCCAGCTCCACCGGCCTTCAAGCCAAAAACCTACAAACGTACCTGCTCAAGTCCAAGGCGGTCCTTTGCGGAAATCCCGGAGCGAGCCTCGAGGATACCGCCGCCTCGCAGCATTGCCTCAGAACACGAAACTTTTCTGGCATTAGGGTTTGAGATTTAGGGTTTAGGGTTTAGGGTCTTCGGGGTTATGTTTGGGGGTTTGAAATGGTTTATGGTCAACGGTGTTCTGTTGGGGCTTCTGGAGATGCTTTGGCTCAGGGCTTGGCTTTCCCGAGTGTAGGGCATTCCGCGAGTGTCGAGGGGGGCTTCCTTGAGGGGCTCTGCAGTCCTTTTGGATTTAGGGGCGTGGTCACCCTAAACCCTAAACCCTAAACCCCTAAACCCCAAACCCTAAACCCTACACCCTCAACCCCTAATCGCTCATCTCCACATGCAGGTCCACCCACGCCCT